AATCTCCCCCTACTCCAACACAAAGTACAAAACTCTTTAAACTCTGAATAATTCATATCACCCGAACAGTGTTCCATGTAAACGTGTTTTAAATTAGTTTCGTCTTGCTTGAATAATATTAGCATGTTGCTAATATCTCGAATAAGTTATTTGRATATCCGGGCAAATGATTGTGCTAGATAGAACACATCGATATTGTTATGTCTACAACGTGTGTAGTAAGAACGTACGATATTTTGATTTTCACATAAAATATCGTCAAATACAAAAACAGAATCTGGTAATGCTTTTTCTGGTGGGATAACCTCATCGTTTTCATGAAAAGTGAATAACTGCACGACCTATACATCTTTTAAAATTTCACAAAGCATTTTATATTTAGGTTGATCGAGTGTTTTTGAGTATATATAAACGTTATGAAAACGTATACCGTTGATGTTAGTCGATAAAGCATAAATCAAATTTGTCTTGCCGCATCCGGAAGGGCCTACAACTAAAGCACGGCAGGTATTCGGTAAAAGCCTTCCATGCCTCGATTCGCGAGTCGTAGATGGGTCRACATTTTCCACTGTGAGTTTTATTTCTTGGTCGACAAACTTCATTATAAATACTTGTGTAATCTCTGTAATCTAATCATTACACGATGTCACCCGTTCGAAGAAAAAACAAGAATAAAGGTGGAGGTATCGTTAACACCCTTATAAACAAATTACCATTTGAACTTCATTTACCAGGTAAATTATAAACCATACAACACATAACATTCAATATAATCAACTCATAATTTTAGGTTATCAGTACTGCGGCCCAGGTACAAAATTGAAAAAACGATTAGATCGCGGTGATAAAGGTATYAACCCCCTAGATTCGTTGTGTAAAAACACGATATCGCTTATGATCACAGCAACTCTTTGACGGATCGTCAAAAAGCAGATTATATATTGGAAAACCAGGCTTGGAATAGATCCAAGTCAAAAGACTAATTTAAAAGAAAAGGCAGCAGCGTGGTTAGTCACTACTGGCATGAAGGCAAAACGAAAAATGGGTGCTGGATGTGGATTCAAAGCAGCAGTCAAGGCAGCTAAAAATGTATTTAAAAAAAATATGAAAGAAAAAAACCTGATGAAATTAACAAAAAAATGTTTTGTGGCGGCTAAAAAAATATTTCTTAAAAACGGCAAGAAAGCTCGGGTACCTCGTGTCATACCTATACCGAAAACTGGTGGGATGTTACCGTTGATACCAATTTTTGCCGGTTTATCCGCACTCGGAGCGCTGACGGGTGGTATTGCTAACGTTGTAAAGACCGTTAGCGAATTCAATAGAAATTAATCTACACATTTGGGCAGAGGTTTATTTATACCTCGCCCCTAATAAAGGTGGCTCGTATAAGATCGAGAAAGGTAAAGGACTATATCTCTCTTCACAAGGAGGTAGTTCGTATAAAAGAAAGGGAGTCCATAAATCTGTGAAGAAAACCGTAAAAAGGAAAAAAAACTAATTACTACGTTACCCAAAAAAGCATTGTACGATTATGAAATTATAAAACATGCACGCATAACGAAAATACCTCATTTCATCGGAGTGTTTTCCAGAGATAGGTTACCTGCACGTCTTAAACCTATAGAATCAGCTGTAATCAATTTGGACGTTGAAAAAAGTACTGGAACTCATTGGGTAGCGTATAAGAAAATCGGAAAACAAGTTGAATATTACGACAGTTTTGGAAATCTACCACCACCACTGGAACTACAATCGTACCTCAGCGGATGTAACATACAATATAATTACACTAGGCATCAACGTTATAACACATATAATTGCGGGTATTTGTGTTTGAAATTTTTATTATGTACATGATAACATTAAATGGTAATTCTAGTGAAATGTCGTGTGATATTTTCCCGCCGTTGAAAGTACAAAATACCTCTCAGCTGTGTCTTTTAAGCCTGCAAACACATAATTCTATACCAAACGTAGAACTGGATTGCAATACAATAGGATTTCGCGATGCGCTTGGAAAATGTAAAACTGTGACTATACCAACGKGGTCGTACGAAATAATTAATTTGGAGTCGACAATTCAAAAACTATTACCAAGTCATGTCACCATGYTTCAACTCAAGGCTGACGGTAGCACATTGAAATGTTCGATGACGTGTAGTCATSATGTTGATTTCACTATTGAACATAATACATCGAAAATATTAGGTTTTGAGAATAAAGTTTATCCTGCCAAAACAATGCACGAATCTGAACGAATAGTTAACTGTATAAAAATAGATTGCAATCTTATTTCTGGTTCATTCAGTAATGGTATACCGAGCCAGACTATACACGAGTTTTTCCCTTCTTCACCGCCTGGACATAAAATCATAGAAGTCCCAAAACATTTAGTCTTCTACCGGCTTAATTCCTCGTCTATAAGCAAAGTAAATATAGTAGTAAGAGATCAAGATAATAATTTAATCAATTTAAGATGGGAGCCAATTACAGTTCGTTTACAAATTAAACTTAAAGATGGCTATTAAGTTCAACAGCTATATAAAAAGAAGCGCAATCAAGAAAACCTATAGTTCTACCAACAATATTAATACGTCGAGACGTATGCCAATTGTAAAGAAACTAACAGAGAACAATCTATCATTTTTACGGTMTTTAAAAGTTCTATAATCATGGATGATATGTATTTGGATGTGGCCGGTGGATATGAAGATGAATGCAAAATAACTCAAATGCAGTACCACTCTTTCCTCCCGTATTCTTCAACAGCTTTATCCAATAACGATGAAATTAGAATATCCATTCAAAATATGGACGCTTACACTCTCYCCTGCGAGAGCTATCTCTATATTGAAGGTAAATTAAATATACCGGCAGATGTTGTAGCATATGCGAACGAAATCAATTTTACAAATAATGGTCAAGCGTTTTTGCTTTCTGAAATCCGGTATGAAATTAACGGTGTTGAAATACAAAAATTAAAATCTCCTGGAATATCATCGAGTCTTAAAGGGTTTTGCTCACACACGCCGAATGAATTGAACAATCTAAAAAATGCCGCTTGGAACGTGGATATGGATGCCAGTGAAAATAGACATTTCTCGTTAAATAACAAATTTKCCGGTTGTATCCCACTCAAACACTTGTTTGGATTTTGTGAAGATTATAAAAAAATACTACTCAACTSCAACCAACAAATCATTTTADACAGATCGTCTACGGAYTTTKATGCRTTGTACGTTTCGGAGACCACTGCGAATGACAATAAAGAAAAACTTAAAAAAGTAGTGATTGAGTTAAGTAAAATTATTTGGAAGATGCCGGTTATCAGGGTGAGCGACAAAGAAAAAATAAAATTACTTAAAGTATTAGACTCTCGTAAACCACTTTCGTGTGCGTTCAGAAATTGGGACTTGTGCGAATAYCCSGTTCTCCCTYAGAACACTTCTCATTCATGGACGGTTAAATCGAGCAGTTTGCTCGAGAAACCCAGATTTGCATTAATTGGHTTTCAAACAGATCGAAAAAATAATTTATTTAATCCGTCTGGACGATTCGACCACTGTTACCTGAAAAACCTTAAAATACACCTAAACTCTGAAGTGTATCCATACGAATATTTCCGTTCAGATTTCACAAACAACGTTACGGCTATTTTATACAAAGCATATTATGCAGATTTCCAAAAAATCATACTATGACAGAGAATATGGTGAGCCTCTACTGTCAAAAACCATTTTTGAACAATACGTACCAATCATAGTCGTAGATTTATCACGACAAAACGACAACGTAAAATCGTCGACTGTTGATTTACGCATCGAGTTCGAAACAGGCAAAGCCATTCCAGCGAAGACTGCAGCTTATTGTCTCATCTTACACGATCAAATTATAACTTATAACCCTTTTAATGGTGATGTAAGGAAATTGTAAATAGTTTGTAAATAAAAATACTTTTTTAAATATCACGTTATTTTTTTAATTTTTTTTTTAATTTTTTTAACCACAATATGAAAACCATATAATAAACAAATTTTTTATCCAATTACAATTCAAATATAGGATAATCTTATCCACGGCTAGGTTTTTTAATATATTATAAAATTTTATATATTATTGGCAGGAAAATAAGAGTAACTTAATCTACGTCTTGCCTTTGCCCTTTCACGTGCTGCGAATGCCCTTGTACTAGGTCTCTTGACTACAGGCTAAAAACATTAGGTTTCTTTTAGTATAAAATAATATGTAAAAATATGTTCGTATTACCTCAGTTTCGGACGACGATGATAACCAACCCCTTGCCAACTGTTTCAATGCTTTACTCTTCAAATCTKCTATCAAGCATGTGCCGGCGACTGGAATACACTCTTTTAATTTTTTGACCTGGATGCGCTTTAAATAATCTTCAACATCACTAATGTCTGTATCTTTAGGCAATGGCATGTCCTTTCCTAGAAACATTGAAATCTCGCATGCYTGATGCAATGCAGTGGACCGTGTATACATATTTTTCATCTCGATAACTTCTTCCATGACATCACTTAATTCCAAGATTCTCGCGACATTCTCCTTAGTCAGTTGCACCTTTTGGTCTTGCTGTAGACATTTGATTGAGAGTATGTTGTTGCCGTTGCATTCTYCGATTGACATCAATTTAAACTCCTCTAACAGTAAGTGTGATGGTAGTAAAAAATTGATGTTTTTAAGTAATACATTAAGCGATTCATACGAGGTGTGATCAAAAAATACCGGGACTAAAATTATATCTGCGCTAAAAATAATCGAATGGGGAATATACACACATCAAATAAAAATAGAGATAACACTCAATTACGTTATTCAAGCCGTGAGTTAATATTAACTGTTAGTAATGAACGAAAATTCATTGAAATCAGATACTTTTATTGTGTGTGCCGTTTTTGTCATGTCGAAT